TTTGGCTTGTTAACGCTTTGGTGCCACCACTGCTAACGCAGCAGCAGCAGCGTCACCATAAATGTTGGACAGTACACCTAGCTAATTATTAAAAGAGTGTAGGGGGGGATGTAACGTCAGCAGGCTGCACGTTAACCGCACGCGCCGTGATGTAAAGTTGACAACGTGCGCTTAGACGAAGATTCCACCACCACCACCCCCCATAGCCTTCAAGAGACTGTTGGAGAAAGTGGTGTTAGAGAGCACCTATGAAGGCCGGCACGGCACACGAGGGGGTGGGTGGCCCAGCCACCACGCTCGGCCGCCTTTGTCCCCCCAGTGGCGGTGTTTACACACCACACCGGGTACTCATTGCGGGGCTGAGTCGACCTAGGGGAGGCCCAGGACCGGTTCAAATAATCGTCACTGGCGGTGGCCGTGAACGAGAATCGATCCGCTACCCACCCCTCCTATCCACCAACCCCGCACTGATCAGCGTGGTGAGGGATATGCAGACAACACAGACTGGACATTTGCTTGAAACTACTGGGCATCTTTCGATTTAAAGCTTTTGTGACTGCAGGGATTCATCTTCTTGGTTCTTTCGGTAAAGTCACGTAGAATGGAAATAATAAAATAAAAAAAATAAAACAATAAAATAATTCTCACGACGTTTCGGCCACAACGCAAGTAGCCATCCTCAGGTGTCTGACAGACCTGTTCTTTACCTGAGGACGGCTGCTTGCGTTGTGGCCGAAACGTTGTGAGAATTATTTTATTATGTTTTATTTTTATTATTTCCATTCTACGTGACTTTACCGAAAGAACCAAGAAGATACTGGGCATCTGTGAAAAAAAATTGCTTTATAGCTCGTAAGATTCCTCCAGCATAAATACATATTCTGATAAAGGTGATGTAAATTATATTAGAGTCTCTTCTCTGGTGACAACTCGAAAAAATATCTAATCCTACAACCCCATACTCATTGGTTCTTTCGGTAAAGTCACGCAGTTAGAAATAAAATAAATCACGAAGTTTCGATCGCAACACAAGCCCAATTCCTGAATTTGGGTCACCAAAAAAAAAGCCAGAAGAGCCTTGAGGAGTGGATTGGTTTCATGGGGCAACACTGCTGATGAGAGGTGGATTCTCCACTCGCGAATGCAACTGTGCAAATATCCAAACGCAGGAGGATCCTTCAATGAAGCTGGGTAAGCAATCATCATCGCCACCAGACATGCTCTATGTACCGCTCGATAAAGGCGTCTGCGCACACACACGGTTATGTGTGTATGTCGAATTTCTTTCGCACCGTACGTAGATAACTGCGCTAACGTGTTAAACTAAGGACAACAAACTAAAAACAAAAAGCAGTTAGAAAGAAATGAGCTTTCAATCTGGATGATTTAAAAGTGCACAGCTCCAAGTGGCTTCCTCGAGCCGGTAGTGAAAATTCCACATGACCATGGCAAGCGCCAGTCCATCCATAGTTGACTTTCCACAATGCGGTAACTATTTTATCGACCACAAATGACGGTGATGATGATGGTGATGTTTCACCGAGGCGACCACTGGACCGATAAATACACCAACACACAGTGACACAACAACAACACATTCTAGATTTGAAGTTTTCGTGACTGCAAGGATCCATACTCTTTGGTTTTTTCGGTAAAGTCACGAAGGTGGAAAATAAAATAAACTAAAATGAAAACATTTTTTAAATTAATTTTATTTTTTATCTACGTAACTTTACCGAAAAAACCCAAAGAGTTTGTAACAACAACACAATTAACAGACATATTCTCGTGATGGTTGTTTTTTTTTACCAACTTATTCTAAACTGGCGCAATTAAAATCTGTAAATAGCTTAATGACACCCGGGAAAGGCACAACGAAGCGATGATGGATCGAGGCGAATCACGGTGCGGCAGTCAAATAATAGAACGCGTCCCAGGGGGTACGTCCATCGAGGAGACGGAAGCGATGGTGAAATCAGCTCAGTGTTGCCGAGGGTGGGATTGTTACACCGCAACTTGAAGCAAAAAAATTCCGCGAATTCGTCAGAAGCGCTGCCTCAAAAACGTGCGACGTTTCGGGCAGCAGCCCTCCAGATGAGCGCGGTTGCCTAAGTACGGTGCGAAAGAAGTCCAAGGTACATTACACCATGTAAGGCACAGAAGCTACCTGGATCACACATTATATAACTCAACTTAGTGGCTTGTCACGTGGAGATGTACAGCAGCCACATTACTCTAAACGCGTGACGTTGATTCTAAATGTGGGGGAGGGGGGGAATCGGATGACCCGGAGACAAATCCACGCGTCCACGGGGAGAGATTCACGCAAACTCCAAATATACAGCAGCAGCAGGCGTCAGGGTCGGGATCGAACCCACGACCTCCTGTATACCTCGCGAGGTAGTTAACATCTCCTAGCCACCGTGATGGTGATGATGAGAGAGACACGCAAACTCCAAATATACAGCAGCAGGCGTCAGGGTCAGGATCGAACCCACGACCTCCTGTATACCAGGCGAGGTATTTAACATCTCCTAGCCACCGTGATGATGATGATTGAGGAAAGACACGCAAACTCTAAATATACAGCAGCAGCAGCGTCAGGGTCGGATCGAACCCCGACCTCCTGTACACCAGGCGAGGTATTTAACATCTCCTAGCCCCTGATGATGATGAGAGAGAGACACGCAAACTTAAATATACAGCAGCAGGAGTCAGGGTCGGGATCGAACCCACGACCTCCTGTATACCAGGCGAGGTAGTTAACATCTCCTAGCCACCGTGGTGATGAGAGAGAGACACGCAAACTCCAAATATATAGCAGCAGCAGGCGTCAGGGTCGAGATCGAACCCACGACCTCCTGTATACCAGGCGAGGTAGTTAACATCTCCTAGCCACCGTGGTGATGAGAGAGAGACACGCAAACTCCAAATATATAGCAGCAGCAGGCGTCAGGGTCGAGATCGAACCCACGACCTCCTGTACACCAGGCGAGGTAGTTAACATCTCCTAGCCACCGTGGTGATGAGAGAGAGACACGCAAACTCCAAATATATAGCAGCAGCAGGCGTCAGGGTCGAGATCGAACCCACGACCTCCTGTACACCAGGCGAGGTAGTTAACATCTCATAGCCACCGTGATGCCCATCTCATCGCAAGATCGTGCGATAGTTGCAGACAGGTCGCGGACGGTAGGGAGGCCTTCATCCAGCAGTGGATTGATTGATCAAGGCCGATGCCAATGATGAACGGTTAAAGCGCAGCCCTGCAATTGCTCGCTCACCCCTCTGCCAGCTGACCCGCCCCCGACTGGACGCCTGTGAAAAGAGCTTCATAACTCATCGGATTCCTTCCGGATGAATCCAGATTCTGATGCTGAACTTTCGGGAAAAGGGTCACAGACTCTAAGAGCCCCCCCCCCTCTCTCTTTCTCTCTAAAGACAGGGGTGTATGTTGGTCTACTCTTCCACAGCTAACCCAGACAAACAGCTGAGATGTTAATTCTAGATTTGAAGCTTTCGTGACTTCAAGGATTCATATGTCTTAGGCTTTTTCGGTAAAGTCACGTAGGTAAAAAGTTTAAAATGTATAAAAGTAAAAGTAAAATAAAATAAAAAAGCTGAGATGTTACTCACGAGGGAGAGGGGGAGGGGAGGGAGGGTACACACGTAAATATAAATGTGTCGTCAAACATGCCGCCACCACCCAACGCACAGGGGAGGGTTTGTCACGCGAACAACACGTGGCAGCCGATAACGAGTTGAGCAAGTTGGGAGAAGTCAACCTTCATCACGGATAACGTTGTCAACGTTACCCCCCCCCCTCCCTCCTGTGTTAACGTTACCCCTCCTCCCTCCTGTGTTAACGTTACCCCTCCTCCCTCCTGTGTGTTAACGTTACCCCTCCTCCTGTGTTAACGTTACCCCCCTCCCTCCTGTGTGTTCACGTTACCCCCCCTCCCTCCTGTGTGTTCACGTTACCCTGCTGTTAACGTTACCCTGCTCAGTGTCAAGGTTACACCTCTCCGTGTTCACGTTACCCTCCACTGCGTTAACGTTATCCTGCTCAGTGTTCACGTTACCCTGCTGTTGACGTTACCCTGCTCAGTGTTAACGTTACCCTGCTGTTAACGTTACCCTGCTGTTAACGTTACCCTGCTGTTAACGTGTTAACGTTACCTTCACGTTAAAGTTACCCTGCTGTTAACATTACCCTGCTTTTAACGTTACCCTGCTGTTAACGTGTTAACGTTACCCTGCTGTTAACGTTACCCTGCTGTTAGCGTTACCATGCTGTTAACGTGTTAACGTTACCCTGCTGTTCACGTTACCCTGCTCAGTGTTAACGTTACCCTGCTGTTAACGTCTTAACGTTACCCTGCTGTTAACGTTACCCTGCTGTTAACGTATCCCTGCTAACGTGTTAACGTTACCCTGCTGTTAACGTTACCCTGATGTTAACGTGTTAACGTTACCCTGCTGTTAACGTTACCCTGCTGTTAACGTGTTAACGTTACCCTGCTGTTCACGTTACCCTCACGTTACCATGCTGTTAACGTGTTAACGTTACCCTGCTGTTAACGTGTTAACGCTACCCTGCTGTTCACGTTACCCTCACGTTAACGTGTTCACGTTACCCTGCTCAGTGTTAACGTTACCCTGCTGTTAACGTTACCCTGCTGTTAACGTTACCCTGCTAACGTGTTAACGTTACCCTGCTGTTAACTTTACCCTGCTGTTAGCGTTACCCTGCTGTTAACGTGTTAACGTTACCCTGCTGTTCACGTTACCCTCACGTTACCATGCTGTTAACGTTACCCTGCTGTTAACGTATCCCTGCTAACGTGTTAACGTTACCCTGCTGTTAACGTGTTAGCGTTACCCTGCTGTTAACGTGTTAAAGTTACCCTCACGTTAACGTTACCCTGCTGTTAACGTTGCCCTGCTGTTAACGTGTTAACGTTACCCTCACGTTACCCCACCGCGCGTGCGACACTCACCCGCTCACCCGCTCGACGCAGCAGCAGCAACGAAACCACCGCGCGGACGATTTTTCCTTAAACAAACCAAGAAACCAAGAAGGTTTTGGTCACGACACGGAACGTCGTTTCATTAGGAAGCAAGACGCGAGAGTAGAAGGGATATCCGATGGATTGTAGCTCGAAATTTAACAACGAAAATATTTTCGTTTATTTCCCCTCACGACCGCCGAGGCCTCTGGCGGGAACTTCCGCCCCGCCTCGCCCCGCCCCGCCTTCTCTCCACTCGCCCCGCCCCCTCTCCACTCGCCCCGCCCCCTCTCCACTCGCCCCGCCCCCTCTCCACTCGCCCCGCCCCCTCTCCACTCGCCCCGCCCCCTCTCGACTCGCCCCGCCCCCTCTCGCCTCGCCCCGCCCCCTCTCGACTCGCCCCGCCCCCTCTCGACTCGCCCCGCCTCGCCCCGCCTCGCCCCCTCTCCACTCGCCCCGCCCCCTCTCCACTCGCCCCGCCCCCTCTCGACTCGCCCCGCCCCCTCTCGCCTCGCCCCGCCCCCTCTCCACTCGCCCCGCCCCCTCTCGACTCGCCCCGCCCCCTCTCGCCCCGCCCCGCCCCCTCTCGACTCGCCCCGCCCCCTCTCGACTCGCCCCGCCCCCTCTCGACTCGCCCCGCCCCCTCTCGCCTCGCCCCGCCCCCTCTCCACTCGCCCCGCCCCCTCTCCACTCGCCCCGCCCCCTCTAGACTCGCCCCACCTCCTCTCCACTCGCCCCGCCCCCTCTCGACTCGCCCCGCCCCCTCTCCACTCGCCCCGCCCCCACTCCACTCGCCCCGCCCCTCTCGCCCCGCCCCCTCTCCACTCGCCCCGCCCCCACTCCACTCGCCCCGCCCCCTCTCGACTCGCCCCGCCCCTCTCGCCCCGCCCCCTCTCGACTCGCCCCGCCCCCTCTTCAGATTCCCCAGCGCGGATGCGCGCCACCGCCGGCGCTACGCAGCGTGCCTCCCATTGGCTCTGCCGCGGTCACGTGGGGGCGAGGTAGGAGGCGGAGCCTCCTCATTGGCCAACCCGCTGTGTTGATTGACAGGTGGCGGTTTATCCAAACTGAGGATTCTAATGCGAGGGCTCGCCCCACCCCCCCATCGCGTTGTAAACAAACACGCGGTACCAAGCGCAGCCCCTGCAAGTGCAGACGCATTGACACTGCCGGCGGAACGGGACTGACTTCCTCCACCACTAGAGGCCGCTAGCTCTTGAGAGTTCCACCCTCCCCACCCCCAGTCCCCAGCCCCCACCCCCCCTCACCATTCTCTCGACGACTAACTTGGTCTACTCTTCCACGCTGGGTCACTTGATCTTCTTTGGAAGAGGTGGGCCTATATGTCCACACTTTAGCCCAACGACGACAACAACAACAGCCGCCGCCGTTCGCCACTAAGTGGCGGCGATTGTCACCACGGCGCTTGTGCCAGGCTAGGTGCACGTTGAAGGCGTCACGTGACGTGTGGAAGGCTCGCTGCTGCCAGGTGCCATGGGTTGACTGACTGAGATGACTACTGGAAAAAGATGCACCATCTGTGCGCCCCGCTGTGCCAATTCGCTGCGTTTTAGTCGCCCGGCGTTCGGCTCGTTGTTGTGAGCGTCGCTCCTCTGCCCTTCGTTGTTGGGCACCACAGTGGCTAGGAGATGTTAACTACCTCGCCTGGTGTACAGGATGTCGTGGGTTCAATCCCGACCCTGACGCTTGCTGCTGTATATTTAGAGTTTGCGTGTCTCTCACTCTCATCATCATCACTGTGGCCAGGAGATGTTAACTACTTCGCATGGTATTTTTCGCGCATGGGGGCCTCAAAAAAAACAAAGGAGTGATTTGTGACCCACATTCACTACTGTACAACGGTGTTTGGTTTAAAGGAAGAAACCAAAAATGAATTCTTGGAAAATGTGAGATGGGAATTTTTTTTTTTACAAATAGAACCAAACCCCCCCACCCCCACACAAAAGACAAAGATCGCCCAGAAAGCCTTAACAGGCTGTCGGGGCAAGTGCTGTTATTTGCGAGCCACACGCGGAGAGGGTGGCCAGCAACCACGCCCGGCCGCCTTTGTCTCCCTACTGACGATGTTTACACACAGCACCGGGTACTGTACGCATTTGAGGCTGAGTCGGCCTAGGGGATGCCCAGGACCGGTTCAGATAATCGTCACCGGTGTTGACCGTGAGTGGGAATCGAATTCGGGTCGCCAGGTTCACACGCGCCTATGAAGGCCGGCACGGCACACGAGGGGGTGGGTGACCAACACCACGCCCGGCCGCCTTTGTCTCCCCAGTGGCGATGTTTACACACCGCACCGGGTGCTCGTTTGGGGCTGAGTTGACCTACAAAGACAAAGATTCCCCGTGTAGCCTTAACAGACTGTTAGGGCAAGTGCTGTGAGCGAGCAGCACCTATGAAGGCCGGCACTGCACACGAGGGGAGTGGGTGGCTAACACCACGCCCGGCCGCCTTTGTCTCCCCAGTGGCGATGTTTACTACACACCGCACCATACACACGCACACACGTGCAACGTGTGCAGCTCACCAGAGTATCCACAGACACGTCGCAAACCGGAGCGACTCCGTTCAAACGCGTTCCGAATCGAGTCGGAAGATGCGTCGTAAATCGATCCGCGAGGCATTGTATAGACGTCATAAACGCGGACCGATTGTAAATATGACCGTCGTAAAACGAAGACCGCCTGTAATAAATTTTGATTTAAAGCTTTCGTGACTGCAGGGATTCATCTTCTTAGTTCTTTCGGTAAAGTCACGTAGAAGGGAAGTAATAAAATAATACAAATAAAACATAATACAATTATTCTCACGACGTTTCGGCCACAACGCAAGCAGCCGTCCTCAGGTGAAAACCAGGTCCGTCGAGGCGACAGAGTCTGAGGACGGCTGCTTGCGTTGTGGCCGAAACGTCGTGAGAATAATTTTATTATGTTTTATTTTTATTATTTTATTACTTCCCTTCTACGTGACTTTACCGAAAGAACCAACAAGATGAACCGCCTGTAATACTTTAGATAAATTTGACCCCCTATGACCCCCCCCCCACCCCATACCACCGCACATCCTTGGGGTCAGAATGAGGGTCAGCGTTCTAACTCCCTAGAGGTCAGAATTCTGTGTGAGGGGGGGGAGGGGGGGTCACAGTGGCAATGCGTTCACCGTGAGCGGGGTATGGAAATGGCATCGAGTGACCACCAGCAGCAGCTACAGCAGCAGCACGAGCAGCAGCAGCAGCTACAGCACCAGCAGCAGGAGCTACAGCTACAGCAGCAGCTACAGTACCAGCAGCAGCACCAGCAGCTACATTACCAGCAGCAGCAGCTACAGCAGCAGCTACAGCAGCAGCAGCAGGAGCTACAGCACCAGCAGCTACAGCACCAGCAGCTACAGCACCAGCAGCAGCAGCTACAGCAGCAGGAGCTACAGCAGCTACAGCACCAGCAGCAGGAGCTACAGCAGAAGCAGCAGGAGCTACAGCAGCAGCAGCAGCTGCAGCACCAGCAGCTACAGCACCAGCAGCTACAGCACCAGCAGCAGCTACAGCAGCAGCAGCTACAGCAGCAGCAGCTACAGCACCAGCAGCAGCTACAGCAGCAGCAGCAGCTCCAGCAGCAGCAGCTACTGCACCAGCTACAGCAGCTACAGCAGCAGCAGCAGCAGGAGCTACAGCACCAGCAGCAGCAGCTACAGCAGCAGCAGCTACTGCACCAGCTACAGCAGCTACAGCAGCAGCAGCTACAGCAGCTACTGCACCAGCAGCAGGAGCTACAGCACCAGCAGCAGGAGCTAGAGCACCAGCAGCAGCAGCTACAGCACCAGCAGCAGGAGCTACAGCACCAGCAGCTACAGCACCAGCAGCAGGAGCTACAGCACCAGCACCAGCAGCTACAGCACCAGCAGCACCAGCAGCAGGAGCTACAGCAGCAGCAGCAGCTACAGCACCAGCAGCAGGAGCTACAGCACCAGCAGCTACAGCACCAGCAGCTACAGCACTAGCAGCAGCTACAGCACCAGCACCAGCAGCAGGAGCTAGAGCACCAGCAGGAGCTACAGCACCAGCAGCTACAGCACCAGCAGCACCAGCTGTAGCGGCAGAGCCACGAAGAACGCCGACGTGGTGTGGCATCGCCCGACAGTTCCCGCGTCACGGGCTCTGGGGACCGGCGCAGAGGTCACCGGTGTGGACGCGCCGTGCGCAGGAGTTGAACTCGCCAACCGCTGCACTAACCATGCCCCACGCAACAACAACAACGACCGCCATTCGACACTCTAAGTGGCGGTGACGTCACCACGACGCTTGTGCCAGGCCATGTGCACGTTGAGGCCACGTGAAGCGTCGAACGCCCACTGGCAGGTCACGGGGCAGACCCAGGTGCCACAGGTCGACTGACTGAGATGAGTGGCTGATGCACCACCTGTGCCCACTACTGTGACAACTTGCTGTGCTTTATCCACCCGGCACTCCGCTCGTTGTTGTGTCGCTCCTTCGCCCCCCGTTGTTGTTGGGAGGGCGACTGCCTCCAACTGGCCAGTAGCAGCGTCCTTCATGAGCCTCCTCCACAGAGGCCGATCTTGACACCGCTGGTACCAGTCATCGGCAAGTCCACTCAGCTCCACATCCTCCTGTACCACATCACTCCATCTCTGCTCTAGTCCGTGCCGCGCCCGTTTAGCCCCCTCTATCTGGCCGAACAAAAGCTGTTTATGCATGCGGTGGCTGGGCATGCGGGCTACATGACCGAGCCAATGCAGCTTTGCCTGCTAGAGGAGCTCACCGATGGGACTTTGTCCAGATCTTTCAAGGATTTGTGAGCTCCTCACACAATCCAGCCTGGTTCAACCCAGGATGGATCGTAGGCAGGCCAGCCTAAATGTTTCTAACCGGCGAAAAGATGTTTCATTAGGGTGGTCCACGTTTTGCAAGCATAGAGAAGGGAGGGGATGACCGTGGCCGAGAAGACCTGAAGCTTCATGCGGAGCAAACCAGGTAGCTTCCAGGCGTTATGCAACCGATAAAAAAATAATGTCGCTTGACTGATTTGGAGTGAGACCAAACCGGAGCCGGTCATGAGCACACTGCCCAGGTATGGAAAACTCTCCACTCTCTTCACAACTGCCCCATCACCAATTGGGAGTTGTGGGGGTGGAGTGTCCGATGGTACAAAATACCCAGGCAGGTGCTTAGTTTTAGTGGGGCTGATGGTAAGGCCCCACCCCTT